CCCAGGCAATAGGGGACCATGGGGCCCCCGTTTCCTTGCCCAAACTCAAAAAAGCCTATGGAAAAAAAAAAAAAAAAAAAAAAAAAAAAAAAAAAAAAAAAAAAAAAAGGTACCAGGAGCATCTCATGGGGTCCCCTACTGACCCCAGGCCCTCGGGCAGTGCCCGAGTTTCCAAATGGTCAGTCCGCCCCTGCCTGGGACAGGTGACTTATTAAACTTTTCACTTTGACCGTACGCATACTGTATATGCAGTCCTGTGTAAACAATGTACCGTGTTGAGAGCATTCTCCCTGCACAGTAGCCACACACGTGTGTGTGTGGTCTAATCGGTAAGCTACCGATGCATACTTGCAATCGGGAGCTTTCTGATCATGTGTCCGCCAATCACAGCAAGCACATGACCTGAATGCCTGGCTTTTAGAACTCTTAAAAGGGCCAGGAGGTGGTTGGCATGAAGGGGTTAAATGTGAGCAGCTATAAATCTTTTGTAGCTGCTGACTTTTAATTTTTCACCAAGTGACTGAAGAACCAAATTACATGATTGTTGGTAGATCTTAAGGAAATTGCAGAGAATGTAATGTGTTTGGCGAAGTGTAGAGATGAAGGTTTGACAAACTAGAATTGGATTCTCCCTCTTACCTGCTAAAGCCTTGGATGCATTTAGAGATGCTCCGTGCTAGAGCCTGGGCCACTTGTAACATTACCATCAAGTCAGCAAAATGTTTAAACACACTGCAGCAACAGCTAAAATGATGCCTCTCTACACCGTGTTAACTGTCCAAACTCTCAAGATTTGTTTAGCAAGGAAGCCAGGTTTTACAGGTTCTTGATCAAAGACTTTTCTGGGTCAGGTAAACATGAACGGTAGCCATAATATTATCCCAGTTGGATCATAAAATCCTGAATCCTTCTCTTTGTATAGATGACAACAGTGCCTTTCCTGCACTAAAATTCCAACCAGTGTTGCCAGCTCTACATGAATACATTGATTTCCTAATTGCCAAACCATGCTACTGCCTTGACTCCCAAGAGTCTGTCTACACACAGTGTGTAGGAAAAGGGCTCTTGGCAGATGTAGTTCTGGAATTGAGCCTCCAGCAGCTACCCCTGCAATAATTTAACATGCCTGGTAATGATGTCAGGGTTAATAAGAGGAGATTATCACTGCAGAAACAAAAAAGGTAAAGAGAATTCTGGGACATGCTTACAAATTTGACTAATACCTCAAAATGGTTGTAAAGGCTAAATGTTTTTTTTTTAATTCTATGCATGAAGGTCTAAAAGCCTTCTGTGTGTTGCTCCCCCCACAGCCCCCCTAATACTCACCTGAGCCCCCTCACAATCCAGTGGGTGCCTTGGCTGTCCGGGGTCTTCGCTCCTCATTGGCTGAGACAGCAGCGGGCATAATTGGCTCCCACTGCTGTCAATCGCAGCCAGTGAGCTAATGAGGAAAGAGTGGGGGCTAGACCGAGCCATGGCTCTATGGGGTTTATTTACTAAAGCTGGAGAGTGACACTGTGTAGACATACAATACACCTCTATTCCATAGTATGTTCAAACTGAGGCTGTGCTTGAGCAGGGTGTGTGTGCGCCAGAGGCAGGCTGTGATTGGTTGGGGGATGTGGTGGCTCAACAAACTACTCAGTACAGGCATGCTTTGTATCTGCACAGTGTCCTGTACCTCTGAATACCCAGTGAAAAAGGATGAAAAATTACCATTCAAGTACAGATCAGCTTCTGTGCTTTGTGTGGCCAGTTAAGAACAGGAAATAAAATGTGACTGGCAGGATCAACCAAGTACCTCAGATGGAAGAAGTACATGGAAATGATAGCGAGACTAGGATTTATAAATTATACATGTGTGAACACAACCATAGAAGAAAAATAAAAGTTTAGAGTAATACACTTTAAAAGTAAAGTACAAACACACATATTTGTAAAAGTAGATTTTTTTTCTTTTATTTGTTAAGACTGCTTCAGAAAAAAAAAAAAAAAAGGGGTAGGGCAAAAACAGTCTGATAAACAATATATGTTGTATGGAATAAATTAATATCTACATGCCATTTAACAAAATGCTACATACATTATAAAAAAATAACATTTTTATGTGCATTTTAAGTTTTTACATTTTTTCCTGTACATTTTTTAAAATTTACATGTTTTATGTACATTTTTTTTTTTTTTTTGCACAAGTGAACAGCACCATTTACATCTGTACCTTCACACACTCACATCTGTACTTCAACAGTTATGGAAAAATCTTAACTGTTTTTAAGTGCTCACAAAATCACATTATCAGAACACATGAATGTTTGTAATGAGTAATGACCGTAGCCTTTTAGGAACCGTTATTTGTTTTAGCTAATACTCTCTTAACACTTAGCTTCCTCACATAGCTGCAGAGTTCTCTTATTTTTAGTTACCTACTGATATGGCTGCAAGTTATTCCTTGCCTATGGTTTCCATTGTGCAGCTAGCAGCAATTCTTTCATATATAAACTGTACATGAAAACATAGCTACAGCAGATGGCACAAAGATTCCTCACACTCAGAAGTGTCGAATGCTGAAACTTCTGCCAGCAGCCTCAGCTCTGCAGCAGAGCAAAGATTTGCTGAAAAGAAGGTGGTACAAGTAAGGATTATAATTTTACTTTCATATATTGAGCTCATTTTTTTAAATTTTTTAAACTACAACTGTTATTTTAGACTACCCATAGATTTTATAGGGCACGCAACCAGGATCTGACAACACGGGAAAAGCATTCATCCAATGTCTTATTAAAGTGTTGGCTCAGCTCCTCCAAGCGCACAATTAGTTTAATTAGAGAGGAGAGGGCCTTACTTGGGGCGACGGTAGAAAATAGTACCGACTTTATAATTTGCTCAGGCTGGTTAGCTGAAAGACAGGACTGCTGATCCCAACAATGAAACAGCTGGTCCAGATGACTTATCTGGAGTGTATAGGAACCCTTACAGCTCTGTGACTGGTTTCCCACTGAAATACACCACATTGGAACTGTATGGAAACAAATATTATAGCATAACTTGCACCTGGTTCAATAGGTAACATAGCAAGAAGAAATATATGCAGATACTTGAAGAAATCCTTTAAGAAATTCAGATAGGCCACCTCTTATTTGGCAATTAGGTATAACCGTATTGTGGTAGGCAATAATAAAAAAAAATTATAGTAAAATAGATTAGGCAAATGTACCTATCATGTTGCATTAGGCTTAATGTTTTAGGGCACATTCAGACGGGTGATAAGTCAAGTTCTCTGTGCAGTGCCCCTGGGAGATGGGTTGTGCATCCATCCACACAGATACAAATCGCATGGTAAAAATCTGAAATGCAGGCAGGAGCAGATACATGGATCCAAATGCAGTATCTATGTTGAGATCCATGCATCCGTTCCTGCCCACCTGTCTAACTCTGACATGCGACTGCGGCCTTGCAGATGCTGCATGTGCATCCACTTTTATAAGTGCTTTAAACTATGGTTCCAAGGTGGATGCAAATGCCTCTGTCAGCAGCTCACTTGTCTGAATACGTCCTATAAAATGTTCAATTGTTGAGCATTTAAGAATATTTTTTAGCTTGGTTTATGTTGTTACTCACTTTGGTACAAAACAGATACTCTGAACACAAAGAGAGATAGACTCCACATAAGAAAATGTAAAACAGAATAACAGTGTAACTATTTAAGTTTTGCATTACCCTGGTACTATTTGTAGCACCAAAAAGATACGTTTACAATACAAGCCATGCAAATTCAAGATTTAAAAGAGATTTTTTTTTTTTTTAAATCATATCAAAAGTAAACATTTTTTTTTTTTTTTTTTGGTCTTTCATTCGGTTTCTTTGAAATAACATCTATGTTGTATGTTAAACACATTAGAAGAAAAAGAATGGTAACGCTGTGGAAAACATTGACTCCTGAAAAGAACATGAAATGTGTCACCTTACAATTAAACAAAACAGCACAGCGACCTTATGTTTATAATACTCCCTATGCATGTAATACATATTATAAGAATAAGTACAATCCTGCTGCAGAGCTTTACAATATAATGCTCTAAAACTGGCTACTGCATGAAATAGTAGATATATGCATAAGCAAACCTTTCCTGTGCTTCTGGGAGAAAGTAGACAAATGCATTACTGTTGTGCCTGTAGCTCAGAACCGAGCTTATGTATAAAAGAGCAAAATAGCTGCATCTGTTAGTCCGGACTCCCACTGGTAACTGGGAGGCTCTTGATTACAAATACTGCATATACTGTCCTGAAAAATACACGTTTTAAGATACTGTAAAGTTACAAGGAACCTCAATGATATTGCACACTTGAGATCTCCGCTTTAATAAACCCCATGTATTTGTGCCATACTCTGACCATGGTTTTAGAGCAAAGGCAATGATAAACAGCCAGTTTCCATTGCTCGAATCATATTGAATTTTGCAGCTATAAATCGAGTATAGCCATTTTACTAGACAGATACGAGCAGAGATAATGCAAAGGAAAGTTGAAGTATTAAAGGATTGAATTCTTTACATAGGCAGTTAAAATATTAACATTGCTATGGAATGTAGCAGAGACAACTACTAACAATTGAACACAAGTACAGCAAATTCACAAAGTGCTCTTAGCGTGGAATTAAAAAAAAAATAAATAAAAAATGCCAAGCTAAAACTGCAACTATAGAATTATAAAAGTAACATGAATGGGAGAACTGCTCCACATAAAACGTAGCTTGCAAGTTGGTAAAAAGATTCAAAGAAAAATGTACAAAGATGAATATGCAGTTTTAGCAGCAAATCAAAGACCACTAAATTTAGTTTCATAAATGGCATTATAGTTGGTTGCTTTGTTGGCATTTAAGATTGATGAACTCCTGTAGGCATTTAAAACTAAACTCTAACTTGTGAAACAATGTCCTCTTTCATTCACAACAATTTTTTAGTACAATTTCGCCACATGCATACACAGTAGAACGCCCTTTGTTACAAAGGATAGAGGTGACGACTACGACGTTTGAGTTTTGGCTTGCAGTCATCAAAAAAGAAGGAAACCTCAAGGTCACTTGGTGGAGAGCTGCTTAAATTGTCTTCCCCACTGCTCATATCTTCACATGAGTCCTCACTGAAATGAAGAGAAGGCTCAGTTACGACAGCAGTAACACAATCAGAAAAAACAAAAACACAACCCACATTACTTTGTTGCAGTTCAAAGACAAACCACAGGCCAATTAAGAACCATATGGGTGCATTACATTTATAATGTGGTAGTCCTAGCATATGCTCCAATATTACAAGTGGCAGTTCAGTACCTCCATAGCATTTATTCACAAGAATCCTAAAAATTGAGCAGAAATTGGATGTTTGGCTTTCTAACAGGGAAAACGATCCATACCCACAGAAATTGCTAAGCGCAACAGACAAAGAAAGGAGTATAGGAACCATTTAGCAGGCCTGTGTTGATGGAAACAGTTTAACATTAGTTTGAGATTTTTCTGAGATCATTCAGAATTCACTAACAGAGGTGCATCTGACCCGTTTCCAGCAGGGTCTGGATCTGTAAGGAGTATCCAAACCTGATTGAAGGAACACAAAAGCTTGGTCCCAACAAAAGTTTTCAACTGGATGCCAGTAAAAGTCTTCAATACAGTATATAACCATTTAAAAATATACCAACAAATGGGTACATACTTCGCTAAAAAAAAAAAAAGTTATAATCCTATACCCACAGTTGACCCAGAGGAACGCAAAAAAAAATTAAAAAAAAAAAAAAAAAAAAAAATACTGTAGCTGAACCTGCAATCCTTTAGGCTAGGTTCACACCTAAGCAGTTTGCGTTTGATCAGTTTCTACACTGCATTTTTGCTTTTTTTTTTCTTGTTGCTAGGCAGATTTAAAACACCACAAAAAACGTGTCAAAAATGCATCAAAAACACACAACATGCTTTTCTGCAGAGTTTCTATTGAAGTTTATAGAACCAAAAACGCAACTTTTTGCATTAAAAAAAAAACCCTTTCCAAAAAAAACACACCAGGTAAAAACCCAGAGATGTGAACCTGTCCCATAGGAAATCATGTTAAACGGACTGTAGTGCTGTGGAAAACGCTTAGGTGTGAACCAAGGGTTAAAACGGAATTCCACCCAAAAGGGGAAAATTCCCCCCACTGCCACATGTGGCACTTTTTTTTTTTTTTGGGGGGGGGGGGGGGGAAATTACCTGGTTTTGACAGGTACCAGTCCCAATTCAGTCTGCGTTTACGGCACTCTCCAGCCCCTACCCCCTTCCCGCAGCCTTCTGGGACACATCACAGGTCCAAGAAGACTGCAGGATCAATCACATTGCGCATGTGCAGTAGGAAACCGGCTGTGAAGCCAGAAAGCGTCACTGCTGGATTCCCTTAGTTAAGATGCTGGCGCATGCACCCGAAGCCCATTAAAGACATCGGATCGTATGTGGACTTCTGGACAAGTAAGTGTCCTTATATTAAAAGTCAGATTGTAACTACATCTAGAAAACTACAGTTTTGTCAATGGCTGAGCAGCACTCAGCTTGACTTAATTTTGTTCCAGGAATGGCACAGAAGTTCCCATCCCGCTGTCACAACGCAGTGCCGTATACTATATGTAGCTGATGCTACATATAGTTTATACATAACCCCCAGTGCTAGGGAAGGAAATAGTTTATTTGGACCAGCTTGGTCTGAACAAACTATTTTAAAGTGACAGAAAGCTGGAGTTTGGCTTTAAAGTTTTCCAGTACAAAAACATAAAACTTGTAGAATCCCTAGATACAACCTACTGAGCATAGTACATACCTCTCACTTTCATTCATAAAGCCATACTCTGGAATGGTTGGCAACTCTGGAACACTGTAATAACTATTGTGAAGGTTCTGTGCAGTACGCCTGGATACAATCCATACAAGCTTTTTATGGTCCGGTTTGCAGCATTCTGGGGACGAATAATCTGCTAGGCATTGGGAAACAAGCTCTCTCCAATACAGCATGTCTGTGTCCTTTACCTGAAAATAAATGTGAAAAATTAGGACCGCTTTTTAAAAGGAAACAAAAAATACACAAACTGCAATTGCTTTACTGTTTGGCTACTATTGTGGTAACACAGGGGTTTCAATGCTATCTAAGTCATTAACCCAGAACAGGTAAGCAGATCAAGTATTTTAGCTTCACGATTATGGAATCACTGACAAAGTGCCAAAGCCAGACAATTAGCATTTTCAGAAAGTCAAACAATGGCAGCCTCAATATGTCAGTTCATGACAGGTTTGCAATAAAGTATACCTAAACTCTACCTGCATAACAATTCATTTGCATTGTGCATTATAAATAAAAATAAATACAGCCTTGTTTTTGTATCTTAGTGCTGCTGATCTCCAGCTATTTCCTCTGCACATGCACTTGTTCCAGTGTCAGTTGCACATTTTTTTCTCTGGATTGGCTTCCTAATAGTGACAACTGTGGACCATGTCTGCATAACATGTTTCAGCACAGGCCTTGTAGTCTCCATCAGGAACAAATGCAACAGGGTGACAGTGCAACTACGAGATTGTTTAGTCACTAAATACTAAGAATTTCATGACAGATGTAGAATTTAAAAAGAAAAAAAAAAAAAAAAAAAAAAAAAAAAAAGAAGAAGAAGAAGAAGGGGATCGATAAAATACTTTTGGAATTGGATTAACATGTTAAAGCAACAACTAAAAAAGGAAGCTATACTTACCTTTCCTTCAATGGACCCTATCCCTCAATGGCATCTTCTCCTGGGTGCTGGTCTTCAACCATCTTCACTGACTGCTGTGGGATGACGTCACTCCTGCACTGCACATGTACAGGCTGCCATCATCCCAGCACACAGGGACAGTGCCGGCGCTGTAAGCTGAGCTGTCCTGCCCAGTTTACGTTGCAGGAGAAGGCAGCAAGCAGGCAGGCAGGTGGATTTTATTGCAGAAGAGACAATACATGTCTCTTCTGCAATAAAAAGTCTGCCTGCTGTTTGTTACAGCGGAATTATAGTTACACTTTAAACGCCTATATAAGGTTTTAGTGGCTGACTTTAGATACACTAACATATGCTTTTGGGATAGATAACTTTTTTTAACCAATATTTTTTTTTTAATATAAAAACATTTCCAATAATTTATTATTGGCAGAATCTGCATACTGAGAACACAATGTTACCCCCATATCAAAACAAGAATATTGTACTTGCCTTTGAATGTTTCTGTACATGCAGAGCAATCTCAAACAGTTCCAGAGACTTCAAGGTTTCTACTTCAAGAGTAAGAAGGCACAAGGCTAACACTGAGGGCTAAAGACAGAAAACCACAATGTAAGAAAACTGTTTTTTTTAGCAGTCACAGATTATCAGATGAAGACTGTAACAATTCGTACTTTTGCTTTGGAAAAAATGAGCCGGCAGTTGCAAGCTTTCAGCTGAGCTTCCAGTTTGTCAAGATTTAATACTTCTTTCCTGAAAAGATAAAAGAAGTAAGATTATAACTCTAATTTAAAAAAAAAAAACAAAAAAACCCCCACAAAATCGTACATACGCTTTTGAAAGTTTTTTTTTTTTTTTTTTACATTATTTTGTAAATTGTTACAAAGCAAAGCCTAATGTTCATTCAACTTAGTACCTCCTAGCTACAAGGCACATGTCAAACCTACTGTTCACTACCCTGGTAGCTCTGTACAGTACCCTCTTTGATGGACATTAGTAGATATGCTGGTTGAGGTTATATGCAGCCAATTAGGCCCATTAAAAACTGTCTAGACCGTTTTTCGCTGCACTCACTGCCCACTCATAGATGTAAAGATGACAAAAAGTATATATTGGATGACCCCCCCCCCCCCAATTCCCAGTCTGATCCTATGTGGGCAATGATGTAGATTAAAGTGTTGCAGTTAACCTTGCTTGTGTCTAGCTAAATGTCGCACAAATAGTCTGTGTAATACAGCAAATATGGAAGGTACATACCTTTCAGAGGAATGGCAGAGTACTAAAGTGTGGTATAAGTGCAAGAAAGTTAAGGCAGTGGTAGCTTTGAATTCAAAGTGCAGTTTTTCGGATATGATTTTCTCCATACGTTTAATGTCGGACACAGTGCATTTACATTGGCTGATGCGGATGACATCATGGGTGGATGGGATATTGCATTCCTCCTCTACAACTCTGGCTGCTAGTTGGAAGCAGCAAACACCAATACAGGACAAGTGCTTTGGCTTCACCTTAATGAAAATACAGAAAGATTTGTAAACCACTGCAAGGTTTGAAATTGACTTAAAAGACATTCTTAAAAGGTGAAATATGTCAATGCACCAATACCTGTTTTTTTTTTTTTTTTTACCAGGGAGTACAAATATTTGTGCAAGTATTCGCCGATACCAATTACCAATACTTTTTGCGGTGCAATTTGAGCCCATACAAAATGAATAGGTTCGCACTGAAAAGAATCGCATGTGATTTGAACAGGAATTTGCTGCGATTCTTGTCTGAATCACATGCAGTTTTCTGCACCGCTCCTGTGTGAACCCAGGCTGAGATCACTACAACAAGCCTGGGTTCACACAGGAGCAATGGGGGAACCTGCATCGCATTCCTGTTCACATGCCTGATGAAGGGGTCCTGCGAGACTCCAAAACGTTGCCTTGCTGTAACTATGTGATCGTTTATTAAAAAAAACTTTTGGACCCATATTGGTGATCTTCGGTGTGCTGGTGACATTCTCCCTTGCGGATTCTGTTAGGTTCCAGCCGACAGTCGCTGCAGCAGCACCCACTTATACACATTTTTAATGCAGAACATGTGCGTTTGGATTGCACACTTACATTCCTGTTCAAATCACGTGCAATTCTTTGCAGTGCGTTTTTGAGCCCATTAATTTTGTATGATCTCAAATCGCGCCTCAAAAAAGGTATCGGTTTCAGCATTTAGTACCTGTGCAAATGCTTAGTATCAGCACTGATAACAGTATCAGTGCAACCCTACAATCAAGCATTGGTGACCAAGATATGCACAGATTACTTGCACAATACACCAAGCTAAACACTGTGCCTATGGTACTTGGAAAAGGCTTTGAGCAGTTAAAAAGGGGAAATAGAGGCAGAAGTTGTTTAAGTCTGGTGTATAGCAAGGGTGGGAAAAAAAATGTCAGGCAATTTGTGTATGTGTGTTATTCCCTACTGTCAAGATAATTAGACATTTCCATTTTAAATGGAGAAAAATGATCAGAACTGATAGCTGGTCTTGGTGATTAAATAACGTGATTGCACAAGTGTCAATTAATAGACTTACTGGTAAATGGGGATGAGAAGTCAGGTACTGCTAAAAATGGATGTATGCAAAATGATAGTTATACAATTAGGAGAATTATGTGATAAAGTATAAAAAAAAAAAAAAAAAAAAAAGTACCAGGAAACATGCATTACAAAACAACCAGCAAGCAGATTCGAAAACCTCATCTGATCTTTTATACAGCTTTGCTCATGGATAGAGATTGCCCAGTGCTCCCCATTACTGCCTCATGGGGCAGAGAGCATTGAAACCGTGCATTAGGTGCAGTCAATTTAGCTGTGCTTAGAGAAAATTTTATTCTGTGCATCCGGGGGTAGATTAGATACTCTCAGTGCAGCTAAACGGATGTAAATGTGTCTTAACCTACTCTGAAGCAGGAATGTATAAACGCAGGAACAAATAATCTGGGAGACATAAAAGTTATTTAAACTCCTATTATAACTTTTTCTGCATTTAAAAAAGCTAAACGCAGGAAGTTCAAGTGTGAATTAAGCTTTCAATTGTATAATACAAACATGTTATATAACTGCATTGACCCCTGGTCCAACCTACTGAAGCTCCAAATATAAGCTACTCCTCAGATATGGGAGGAGTGGAAATTCCCATGGAAGAAAGGAATTCCAATCCCTTTGGCTCTACGACAACAGTGTTATGTTTTCACTTTATAATTTTCAAGCTTTCAGTTTGTAGGAGCCGGCCTTACTTTCATGATAGCCAAAAACCGATCCAAGATGTTCACAGCCAAGACAAAGGTCTCCATACGGAAGCCATAGAAGTTTGTTAAACTCCACAAGTCTTCTACCTTTGCGTTTCTGGATTTTGGACAGATTGTATTATCATTCTGTACAAAACAACAGTAAACAGGTTATTTATATATTAGCAATAATAAACATGAGCAGTGCATAAAAATTAAACAATGATCAGGGCACTCCATGCATGATCCTAAATTGTTGTATATGCATGCAACTGACCCTAAATGCTTTCTATTTTTCTACTTCAATAGATTTTTTATTATCCTTTCTATTTTTCAAATGCTATTTACTTATAAAAACATATGCTCAGAGATTTTCAAAAGTAAAAAGTACACAAATTTATTGACAAGAAAAAAAAAAAATGTGCATATACAATTTTAATGATTATTAATGATTATTATCAAAAAGCTCCAATTGAACCTGGACAACATAACAAACACGCCCCTCCCCCACCTTCTCACCTCTGCAGTGGACTCTATAAGGATCAAGCCCTTCTCCTTCGGCTGGTACTTGCATTCTTGCTCCAAATGCACATTCAGTTGCTTGAGAAGTTTAAAGGCCTCATTGCTGGTGTTATCCAGGGCTGCTAAATCCTTCATCTTGGATCTGCGTCAATAAAAACACAGAGAGAGGAGAAATAAACAACTTCAGCCTATTTTCCTAGGAGTCAGCAGCGATCAGCTGGTGAGAGGAGTGTCCTCCTTGCTGGGGCGGATCTCATCCCAAGAGAAGAAGAAGAAGAAGGAGGAGGAGGAGGGGGTGCTGCATACAGTCAGTTCATCACGTCTACATAGCCTCCGGTGGGGGGGATTTCCTTTGTGTATCTAATGACCCATCATCATCATCTCAGCTGATAGCAGAAATAAATACAAACAGCCTCCTCTTCTCCACAAAGTCAATCAGATCTCACTAATCACCCAACACACAGCAACAACAGTGTCAGGCCATCAGAGCAAACCCAACACACAGCGACAACAGTGTCAGGCCATCAGAGCAAAGCCAAATCCCACCGATCACCCAACACACAGCGACAACAGTGTCAGCCCATCAGAGCAAAGCCAAATCCCACCGATCACCCAACACACAGCAACAACAGTGTCAGCCCATCACAGCAAAGCCAAATCCCACCGATCACCCAACACACAGCGACAACAGTGTCAGCCCATCAGAGCAAAGCCAAATCCCACCACTCACCCAAACACACAGCAACAACCATGTCAGCCCATCAGAGCAAAGCCAAATCCCACCGATCACCCAACACACAGCAACAACAGTGTCAGCCCAACATAGCAAAGCCAAATCCCACCACTCACCCAACACACAGCAACAACAGTGTCAGCCCATCAGAGCAAAGCCAAAGCATCCAACACCACAGATTTGGCCTACATTGTGTACAATTGTCTGTAGAAGATCTGAGTCTAAATGATACAGAGAACAGCACTGCCTCCATATCAGCTACATTGTTCTCTGGATTCTCATCAGACTCTAATCTGAAAGTTATGTCTTTGTTTTCAATGAAGGAGTTTAATTAGGTAATCATAAGAGTACACAGTCCAAACAATGGAGGGGCCTGTCCTGATATACTTCTATTGGACTACATTTAAAGGGCAAGCCTTTGTAGTATAACAGGGATCCTTGATTTGCAAATGCAGATCCAGGATCTGAAGATGTGTCCTAATTCTATTATGGTGGCCATACAATAGAAAAATTGTGATTGATTTACATATGTGCAATTGCAAACAATTCATTGTTAAAATACAGTACAATGTAACATGCATGCTACTGTTCTGCACTTTGCAATCAACTGAAAATATAATCAGTCATAAATCGAAAATCATTTGTATAAAGATCAGTTCTCTTGCACACATTCAAATATGTGATCAAACAGTCAGAAGTGTTCAACAAAATTCTTCCACGGCCAATCAACTTGGCAGAAGCGACAACGGTGTGTCTGTTATTTTTATTCAGTTCAGTTGAAATAATCCTATAAATGTGTATGACCATCTATAGCAGAAGTCTGCAAACTTTCTAAAGAAAGGGCCAGTTTACGTTCCTTCAGAATTTAGGAGGGCTGGACTGTGCCCAGTGAGAGAAAGCAATGCCCAATCTTTGATCATAGGGTGAGAAATAGTTGGTATCAGTGGGAGAATAGTGCCCCATTTCTGTTGTCAATGAAAGGAATTATGCCCTATGGCTGTTGTCATAAGAAGGAATAGTGCCCCATATTGGTGTCAGTGGCAAGAATTATGCCCCATTGTTGGGGTCAGTGGCAGGAGTAATGCCTCAAGGGCCAGATAGAGGCAAGTAAAGGGCCGCATCTGGCCCCAGGGCCACAGTTTGGAGACGCCCTGATCTATAGGATCACAACGACTAAACTGAGAATCGTTCAGAAGTCTGGTTGTTGGAATTTAGGATCAATAAGTTCAGCCAATCCTGGCCATGCACTTATCAATTAAATGATCCAATGTAGGAATCATTGCAAGTCATTCATCGTCGGTTACAATATCAAACACCCATCCGGTATCAACTGACTATTAAAAATCGGTCATTCAATTGATCAGCATTACGTTCAGTTGTCCGACAATCATGCACATATTCTTTCAGTTGATCAGAAACCTATTGATAAAATTCCACCACAGCCGATCAACTTGCCAATGTCAAAATCGACTGAAAACACTGCTACATTGATTGCAAGGTCTGTGGTTTACAATCCAATAATGTTGTCTCCACAAATGACTGTATCGATAGGCGTGTGGCCACTGTTACAATGGCCCTACATGTCACAATCTGATTGACTGATTCTTCGAATCGGACAATAAGATCACATTTATGGATTGTTGAAAAGATACATTGGACAATTTTGATCAAAACCGATCAATTTCATCAAAATTATTCTGAACCGTCTGGACAGAAAATCCCACCAGATAAATGCATACAATTGGTAAGTGTATGGTGCATCAAGCAATTTATTACAGGTACTTATATGGCGCCCTCAATTTATGCAGTGCTTTTACACACACACATATATATATATAATTCATATCAGTGTTTTTGATAGTTTTTTTCTCCTGAACAGTAAATCGATTTGCAATATAATTGTGTGTGTGTGTGTGTATATATATATATATATATATATAAAGAAAGAAAAAACACACAACATTCTGTGTATGACCACTGTGTTCAATGCTTAAGATTTGACCCGTCAGTTATGCTACTCTCCCCCCCCCCCCCCCCCCAACAACAGAGGGTCTTCCTTGTTCTATAGAAATTCAATGTACATTGGTCAGGCAGATGCTACACAGGTGACAGATCACATCTGAACCAGAATCTGCTTGTCTGTGGTCAGATTTAAACTGGCCATACATTATACATGTATGGCCAGCCTTAGATTCTGCACTTATCATCCAATACAAGTTATAAATCTGATGTAATCTAATACTGGAAACATCATTTTGAATGGATGAGCCAGTATTGTGTGTGACAAACTCAGATCCCTATTGGGTCCGTGATAATCAGGACCCTTGGGGTGAGGATCAGAAGGGTGGTACTCACCTTCCCAGGCTGTCCAGGTGTCACATAGGCAGAGGAGAGTCTTGTCACTTTACTGGGGGGACATGTCCAGTCCACATCTAAGACACGATCGGTGACTCCACAAGCTCACCAGGGGACACCTCCGACCATGGCTGTCCTCATCCTACTACACCTAACAATAATATATACAAATCTATAATACAAAGAGAGAATTTCTCCTCCGATCTCTTCCTTCGTCTTGTTTTTGTTTCTGATCCTTCAACGCCCTAGAGCCTCAGACGTCACACGGCGGAGGAATTTTTACCACTGTCAACACAAAGAACGATCCTCCGAAGTAAAGTAGTCCCAGACAGTCACGGATCCTAATACCTCCTCATTTCACTTCCTTAACAGGCCCCAATTACAGTCAAGCTCTACTAATTATAACAGAGTAAAAAATGACACAAAAAGCAAAGGATAATGGAAGAAAAAATCGAGTGCTTTGGCGGAGGGATATGTCATTTCAGCTCCTTACGTCACTGGGTTTTAAATCCCTGCCTACGGCCTCTTGGTCAAGTTCGAGTTTGAAAAGACCGCCCGAATTATGCTGGTGCGTGATTGGACGTAGCTGCACAGCACTACGCGATTCGCTTGCTGGACTTCTGAAGGCGTACAGGGATTGGTGGGACGTGTGTGGGCTTGCGAGTTCTTGTTGCTGGACAGATTTAATAATCAGAAATATGAGGAAGAGTGCCTAGCCGAGACTACCAGGAGTATGCGCAGTGAGGGCGCCTGTGTCGGCTGTGCACTTGGGACTTGTTTACTCCTGGGAGTGTTGGTATGGCAACGGCGTGTCATGGCGGATTGAGAGGTGATTCTGCACACCCCTCTTATTTGTTTTATGCAATATAGTTACATATATTACAAGATATATTATAGTGCACACCTGGAACACTTCCCTGTCAGCAAAGTAGCAAGATGCAGGTTGACCTCTGGAAGGTTTTACTCCTTCCTGACCAGGACAATTTTTGCTATTCAGCACTGTGCTACTTGCAACTGGCAACATTGTAACCCAATGAAGTTGATGTCATTTTCCACACAGAACTTTATTTTGGTGGTTTTAAACCACCACTGAACATTTTGAAAAAAAAAAAAACACGTTTTCTTAGTTTCTGTTATAAAATTTTGCAAACACATAATATTTCTTCTTAAATTTAAGCCAAAATGTCTTCTACATTTCTTTGGTAAAAATCACCCCGATCAGTGCGTATGGTTTAGTCTGTGTGAAAGTTCTACAGCGTGGAGTTGGTAACCTGTCAATCATGATCTTACAGGTTGACTGAAGGCATGTGACTGGTAGATCACGATGTCGTCCCTGCCCTGCTGGCACTGGCCAAACTGCGTAGGCAAGCGTTGAGACGCCGGGAACCTATCAAATGCCAGCATGGGCATTCCCAACCCTGCAGCATGCCCTTTACTTACATGCAGCTGCGGGCAGAGAATACCTCGGGTGGGTTCAGGCCCCCAACCTCATCCCCAGAGGAGTATATTATGCTGATCCCCTCTCTTCAGTCCATCCACAGCACTTGTGGGATACATGAGAGAGGAGGGCCAGCTGGGATCAGAACTAGAACAGTTCAATCTGCCACTGCAGCTTGTACTGCTCTGCGAGAGGTAACCACTTGTGTGCCATTCTGAGACCCCAGTGATGTGCCCTCTGAACCCACCCCCCCCCCCCCCCCCCCCCCGTACTTTGCCTTCCTGAGCCCCATGTACAGTGCTCAGCTGACCCCCTGTTCTGCTCACCCTTGTTCACTGTCCTAATTTTCCCTGTACACTGCTCATCTTCATACTACTGACCTCTGTGCACTGATCTACCTACTACTCACCTCTGTACACTGATCTACCTACTACTGGCCTCTGTACATTGACCTACCTACTACTGACCTCTGTACATTGACCTACCTACTACTGACCTCTGTACATTGACCTACCTACCACTGGCCTCTGTACACTGACCTACTGACTCTGTACACTGACCTACCAACTACTGACCTCTGTACACTGACCTACCTACTACTGACCTCTG